AAGGCATTGTTCGACTTGTCTGTTTTGACTAATCTCCTGCCGTCTATCTATTTGCTCATAATCTTCTGCAAGTGCCAAGTTGTTTTCAAGCCCCAAATCCTGGGAACTCTCTGGTAACAATTCAGGGAGTACACCATCATCCCCACACCCTTAACGGATGTTCTCATGGGAAACTACACTTTGCACGGGGATCTCCAGGTCCTTCTCTGCATCCGTATTATTGACATCACTCCCCACATCCAAAGCACCCTGATCCTGAAACACAATCACAGGCTGAGCTCCAACAATTCGCCTCCCCGCATAAAGCAGTACCAAAATCTCCTACTTGACAGATGCAACTTTCTTTTGGGCTGCAAAGGTTGACAGCAAGCTAGACTATTAATGGTTGGGAGCTCACTCTGACCCAGGCTGGCGTCAAACTCATGACCTCATGAGAGTGTATAATTCTTAACAGCCGGTGGCGTTATGGGTTTAGCCCTTGTGCTGGCAGCGAAAGGTCGGTGGTTCAAATCCGGGGAGAGGGGAGAGCTCCCATCTGTCAGCTCCAGCTTCCCATGTGGGGACATGAGAGAAGCCTCTCACAGGATGGTAAAATTACTATAACTGGGGGAACTTCTGGGGCTCCTTTCTCCCTCGTTTTTACAGCTATTGGGGTGACACTTGCTACAATGCTGGAACACATTTACCACTCTTAGCCCACTGGATTTCAGAATGTTTCACGTATCCACTGATTTTTGGGGAATTTCCAAAGTACCTTCACTCACTTCCAGAGACCACTACGATCCCCACGAATGACGGACCTGGACCGAACTTGGCACGCAGACCCTCATGACCAACAGAACATACTGGTGGGGTTTGGGGGAGGATGGACCGTGGATGTTGGGATTTGCAGAACCTTCAACTGATTCAGCTCTGACTTCCACAGAACACTGCGATTCCCACAAATGACAGACCTGGACCAAACTTGTCACACAGACCCCCATGACCAATAGAAAATACTGGATCAGTTTGGGAGGAAGTGAAAGTGAGTTAGGGGAGATGTAGTTCACCTACATTTGGAGAGCACTCTGAACCCAAACAACCCTGGATCTGAACCAAACCAAACCCTGGATCTGAACCCGTGCCTTTGGAGCGGGGCCAACGGAGGTGGTCTTGCAACCCCTCTTAAATGGCCAGGCGACCCATCTGAGAACCGCTGTTCTACAGTCTTACAACCACAGCCCGCACACATGGCCACACACACACAACTGACACAGTGAGTATGAGAGGAGGCCACCTTCCCTCAGGCTGTGAGGACCTCTACTTTTGCCTTCTTCATGGTCCCAATGGTCTTTTAAAGGTGGGGCGAATGGCATTTCGCCTTGATGGTTGTGTGTGTGTGTGGGGGGGGGGGGGGGGAGGACCCCACAGCCGTTTCCATTGCAACTTGGTGGGGATGATGAAGCCAAGCAAAGTGGGAGAGAGACAGGAGCTGGTGGGGGAGTGCCTGACAAATGAGGGGTCTGTCCCTGTCATGGAGGGAGGACAGTTGGGAAGGTAGCGTAGGATATCTATATTCCCACAATTTGTCCACAAAACGAAACACACAATAGCATATCCACATTGTGTGTGTGTTTGTGCGTGTCTTAACTATCTGGACCAGTCACAGTCTGGCTTCAGGCCTGGTCACGGCACCGAGACGGCTTTGGTCGCCTTGGTGGATGACCTCCACAGAGAGCTGGACAGGGGGAGTGTGACCCTGCTGGTTCTCTCGGACATCTCAGTGGCTTTCGATACCATCGATCATGGTATCCTTCTGGTACGACTCTCCGGGATGAGTCTCGGGGGCATGGTTTTGTCGTGGCTCCGGTCCTTCCTGGAGGGTCGATCCCAGATGGTGAAGCTGGGAGACGCCTGCTCGGACCCCTGGCCTTTGACCTGTGGGGTCCCGCAAGGTTCCCTTCTGTCTCCCATGCTTTTTAACATCTACATGAAACCGCTGGGAGAGATCACCCGGAGTTTTGGAGTTGGGTGCCATCTCTATGCAGATGACACACAACTCTACTACTCTTTTCCACCCAACTCCAAGGAATCCCCTCGGGTGCTGGACGAGTGCCTGGCCGCTGTGGTGGTCTGGATGAGAAAGAACAAGCTGAGGATCAATCCCAACAAGACAGAGGTTCTCTTGGTCGATCGTAAACCAGATCAGGGTATAGGGTGGCAACCTGTGTTGGACGGGGTTGCACTCCCCGTGAAGTCACAGGTCCGCAGTCTGGGTGTCCTCCTGGACTCATCACTGATGTGTCGGCGGTGACCGGGAGGGTCTTTGCACAATTAAGACTCGTGCACCAACTGCGACCATACCTCATGGAGGCAGATCTGGCCAGGGTAGTCCATGCCTTAGTCACCTCCAGATTGGACTACTGTAATGCGCTCTATGTGGGGCTGCCCTTGAAAACGGCCCAGAAATTCCAATTGGTCCAACGGGTGGTGGCCAGGTTGTTAAGTGGGGCTCCTTACAGAGAGAGGTCAACCCTCCTGTTGAAGGAGCTCCACTGGCTGCCATTCATTTTCCGGTCCCAATTCAAGGTGCAGGTTCTTACCTACAAAGTCCTGACCGGTTTGGGACCCGCCTACCCGCGTGACCGCATTTCTGTGTACGAACCCACACGATCTCTTCAATCATCTGGATCACTGTAGCTAGGTCGTCCCTGGACAGGGAGGGGGCCAGCCGTCTAGCCTGCCGCAGGTGAAAGAAGGCGGTTCTGCTCACGGCCTCCATTGTCGGCGGAGGGTCCAGCAGGCACGATTGGTGGGGACGAGGGAGAGGGCCTTCTCGGTGGTGGCCCCCCGACTCTGGAACTCACTCCCCAAGGACATCAGGCATTCCCCAACTTTGGTAGTCTTTAGCTACGTAGACACCTCCATGGTCATGTGGCCACTGCCATGACCGCATGGAGCGCCCTTACCTTACTTATTGCTCTACTCACATTTGCATGTTTTCGAATTGAAAATCACATTCTATCTATCTATCTTTTACAACTTGGCAACAGACACGTGTTGGCAGAGCAACAGTGAGTGCGTAGAGGTGTGTGGAGTTGTGAAAATATAGTGGAATGAATGCACATGCAAGATCATCCCCATAATCACCCCTCAGCAGAGCCACTTATTTCCCGCGTGACGGTGTGTATTTGAGGGGAGAGTTGAGGAAATATAGTAAAATTAACACACATGTAGGGTGTTCTCCACAACTTCCTTTCAACATAGACATTGGCATATCCACACCCGTATGTGTATGTGTGTGTGAGTGCGCGTGCACAGGGGCGGCTCAACCATTACGCAAAGTAAGCAGTCGCGGTAGAGTTGATTTTGCCCAGGGGCGCTCTTGGGGAAAATAGACCTTGACATATGCGAGTTACTGGGATGTATAGTTCACCTACAATCAAAGAGCATTCTGAACTCCACCAATGATGGAATTGAACCAAATATGGCACACTGAACTCCCACGACGAACAGAAAATAGATATCAGTGAATGGTTGGGGGCTCTTGGGGGAAAATAGACCTTGACGTATGCGAGTTGTAGTTACTGGGATGTATAGTTCACCTACAATCAAAGAGCATTCTGAACTCCACCAATGACGGAATTGAACCAAATATGGCACACAGAACTCCATGACGAACAGAAAATATATATCAGTGATTGTTGGGGGTGGGGTGGGGGCAAAATACTGTTTACTTACCGTTGAAAATTACTCTGTGGGTGCATCCACTACATCTCCCCCCAAAGAAAGAAGGAGACAAAGAGGGAGGGAAGGTTGGCCACAGCAACGTGTGGCGGGTATAGCTAGCATATATATTATATCTATATATATGAAAATGTTCTGTGCGTTATGAGTACCTTAAAAACAAAAGAACCATTGAACGAAATCACACCAAATTTGACAACAAAACATCTCACAACACAAGCAGTGATCATCACTCAAAAAATTACGATTTTGTCACTTGGGAGTTGTAGCTGCTGGGATTTATAGTTCACCTACAATCAAAGAGCATTCTGAACTCCACCAACAATAGAATTGGACCAAACTTGGCACACAGGACTCCCCTGACCACAGAAAACCCTGGAAGGGTTTGGTGTGCATTGACCCTGAGTTTGAGAGTTGTAGTTCACCTACATCCAGAGAGCACTGTGGACTCAAACAATGATGGATCTGGACCAAACTTGGCAGGAATACTCAATATGCCCGAATATCAAAACAGATGGAGTTTGGGGGAAATAGACTGGAAGAGTTTGGTGGGCATTGACCCTGAGTTTGAGAGTTGTAGTTCACCTACATCCAGAGAGCCCTGTGGACTAAAACAATGATGGATCTGGACCAAACTTGGTGGGAATACTGAATATGCCCAAATACCAACACAGATGGAGTTTGGGGGAAATAGACCTTGACCTTTGGGAGTTGTAGTTACTGGGATTTATAGTTCACCTACAACCAAGGAGCATTCTGAACCCCACCAACGATGGAATTGGGCCAAACATCCCACACATGACCAACAGAAAATACTGTGTTTTCTGGTGGTCTTTGGAACTGGACCTAACACAGAATCAACCACCATGGTGGGAGCTGTAGTTTACCCTGCAGCCAGAGAGCACACTGAACCCCACCGATGAAGCATCTGGAGGAAATGTTCCCAGCACAACAAACTGATGGAGTTTCTGGCATGATGGGAGTTGTAGTTCACCCACAACCTTATGCATTGTGGGTGAACTATAACTCCCAGAAAGGAAGGCCAGTTACCTTTTTCAAATACCCCGGGCATGCCGGGTATCCAAGTGAGTAATAATAAAGGGACTATGGCAGGAATGGGGAGCAAAACAGATGAGCCGTGACCCTATGGAACAAGCATGTCGTCAACATACAGAAATCCCAGGTTTGTCAACATTGCTCCTAATCTTAGTTTAGTATGAATATCCAAGCTTGGATCAAACTGTCTACCCATAAGCAGAAAGGCATTGCATATATTAGAAACCAACACTTCCTCATTACTTTATTTTCCAGATCACCAGACTGGGCCACAGCAACGTGTGGCAAGGGACCGCTAGTATATATATATATAGGCACTACTTTTAGAGTTGCTCTTGAATGGGAAAGGAATGAACGGAGGAAACAAATCATATCAACCCTCCCCTCCGAGAGAAAAAGAAGCCAATGTTTGGGTTGGGTAAAGGGCCCGGAAGCCAACGGGAAGGCCAAGGGCCAAAGGCGGGGAGGACAGGAAGGCACAGCTGCTGGCTCCGGTTGCGTTTCATGCACCCCGGGCGACTCAGGGCTCTTCCCGCCGCAGGATGCACAGCACCGACTTGTGGGGGATGCCGCACTCCTCCAGCGAGCGGGAGAGGTCCGAGAAGGTCCTCCGGGGTACCTCCGCCGTCTCCAGGCTGTAGCCGCGGCCGCGGTACGTGGACGAGTTCCTCCGTGCCGCCACCGCCAGGACGGTTTGCAGGCTGTCGCTAGGACGGAAGTGCCGCTCGAAGCGCCGGCCCGACGGGGAGCGGATGGCAAGGAGAAGCCGGGGCTCGCCTTCGCCGGGCTCCTCCGGCTCTTCCTCGGCGTCGCGTTCCCTGCCACTCCCTTGGACCCGACACGCACAATCTCCCTTCTTCTCCATCCTGGCACCGGCAGTGTGGTCGGGCGCCCCTTCCGGCCCGCTGTTCCTCAGGCCTTTCCTGCTGATGGAAGGCAACACTCGGTACTTGTTCAAGGAGGAGGAGGAGCGCAGAGGCACTTGCTGCAGGAGGTCGGGGACCTCGACGGGGAAGACCTGCGGGGTGGACACTCTCTGGCCACCTCGAAGGGGTTCTTCAGCATGGCTCCCAGGAGAAGGCGGCACGGACGAGGAAGCACCGTAGGAGCAGGTCAAGAGTGGCCTGGTGCGGCCCTTGGCGGACTTTGGCCGGGCCACGTGCGTGGCCAGCAAGCGGGGAGGGTTCACAACAACAAAGGGGGGCTTCTTTCCAGAGGGGACGGCGTTCAGCTGCGAGGCGGCCGCCATTGCTTCTCAGGGATGCTGCAAGGACAAGGCGCAAAAGGAAGGTCTCAATATTGTAACCAAATATATTGTATATTGTCTATACTACAACTTATGAAATGTTGTTGTTGTTCATTCGTTCAGTCATCTCCGACTCCACGCCAGAGCTCCCTGTTGGCCATCACCACCCCTAGGGTCTCCTTCAAGGTCAGTCCAGTCACTTCAAGGATACCATCCATCCATCTTGCCCTTGGTCGGCCCCTCTTCCTTTTACCTTCCTACTTATGAAATAGTACAATCTATATATATATAAAGGTAATGTTCGTTTGTCCTGCTATCAGAACTCAAAAACCACTGGGGGAATTGACACCAAATCTGGACACAAGACACCTAACAGTCCAATGTATGTTCTCCACTCAAAAAAAGTGATTTTGTCATTTGGGAATTGCCGTTGCTGGGATTTATAGTTTACCTACAATCAAAGAGCATTCTGAACTCCACCAACTATGGAATTGAACCAAACTTGGCACACAGAATTCCCATGATCAACAGAAAACATTGGAAGGATTTGATGAGCACGGACCTTGGGTTTTGGAGTTGTAGTTCACCCACATCCAGTACTGTGGACTCAAACAATTATGGATCTGAACCAAACTTGGCACAAATACTCAATATGCCCAAATGTGAGTACTGGTGGAGTTTGGGGAAAACAAACCTTGATATTTGGGAGTTGTAGTTGCTGGGATTTATAGTTCACCTACAATCCAGCCATCTATCCATCCCTCTATCTATCTATCTATCTATCTATCTATCTATCTATCTATCCCTCTAGCTATCCATCCATCCGTCCATCCCTCTATTTATCTATCAATCCCTCTCTCTCTCTCTCCATCCATCCATCCCTATATTTATCTGTCAGTCTCTCTCTCTCTTCATCCATCCATCCCTCTAGCTATCCATCCATCCCTCTATTTATCAATCAGTCCCCCCCTATCTCTCTATCTATCCATCCATCCATCCCTCTATTTATCTCTCTCTCTCTCCATCTATCTATCTATCTATCTATCTATCTATCTGATCATCCATCTCTTCATCCCTCTATCTGTGTATTTATTTATCTATCCATCCCTCTAGCTATCCAACCATCTATCCATCCATTTATCTATCTATCTATCTATTTATTTATTTACGCCCTTCTGAAGGGGACTCAGAGCGGCTTATAAGTAAAAAGTAAATACAATATATTATATTATTACCATAGCACAATATTAATTACATTGTACAATGACATTATACTGTAATATTATTGGTAATAATACATTTAATATAAAATGCATAATTAAAATATATTATTATTACTAGTAGTATATTGTATTACATTATAATATTGTCAATATTATATGTATATACTTTATATTATATTATATCCATCCATATTGCCTTCCCTTTATCTGTCCATCTATCTGTCCATCCATTCATCTCTCCATCGAGTTGCAAGGAGAGGTAGGTAATAAATAAATTATTATTATTATTATTATTCAGATTTAGCGGGTGATTAATACATTATTATTATTTTACTTACACAAAAGCTCATTATTATTATTATTATTATTATTATTATTATTATTATTATTCTGAATTCCTACCTCAAGCTGCAAGGAGAGTTCGATTATTATTATTATTATTATTATTATTATTATTATTATTCAGAATATTCAAGCCGCAAGGAGAAGCGGATGATGAATGCATTATTATTCTTGTTATTCTTGAAAGCAAACAGGGTTCGTTTCCCTTGCGATTCCTCGTCCCCAGTTTATTTGTCAAGCAAGGAGTGTGTTGTGTACAGCGCAATGTGCCAGGCAACCAGGTCTGACTCCATTCAGCCCAATAAGGGAGAAACTCCAAGGCATGCACAGCTAGAAAACAAGCAGTATTTTATTTGTCGTGTCAGGGCAACCAGTCAATTGTATTACATTTCTCATCTGGTCGTTCTTCTGTTTCCGCCATCTGCTTCTCTGGCCCTGGAACTCAACAAAAAAGCTCCTATATTGTAGCAGGTTTCCTATGAGGCGGGTGAGATGGTAGTTGCCCAGTCTTCTGTGTGCCCAGAGGGGAGTCTCTCATTTGGTATCAGCCATTGGTTGAGGCTCTGGGTTTGAGCCTGCCACTTTTGGACTCTTGCTTGCTGAGTGTCTCTGTAGATCTTAGGAAACGATTTCTTGATTTAAGTCGATGTGCTGGCTGATACCCAAACAAGGGATGAGCTGGAGATGTCTCTGCCTTGGTCCTTTCACTATTGGCTGCTACTTCCCGGCAGATGTCAGGTGGTGCAAGTGTAATTTCTCCAGTGATGTGAGGCGTAAACATCCTGTGTCTCATTAAGAGCCACATCCACTGTTTTAGTGTGGTGAGATGTGTTCCACACTGGGCATGCATACTCAACAGCAAGGGCAGATGTCTTCACTGTGTCTGGTTGTGATCCCCAGGTTGTGCCAGTCAGCTTTCGTATGATATTGTTTCTAGCACCCACTTTTTTCTTGATGTTCAGACAGTGCTTCTTGTAGGTCAGAGCACAGTCCAAAGTGACTCCCAGGTATTTGGGTGCGCTGCAGTGTTCCAGTGGGATTCCTTCCCAGGTCATCCTCAGAGCTCGGGATGCTTGTCTGTTCTTGAGACGAAAGGCACATGTCTGTGTTTTGGATGGGTTAGGGATCAGCTGGTTTTCCTTGTAAGAGGCAGTTAGAGCACCTAGAGCTTCGGAGAGCTTCTGTTCAACCATCTCAAAACTCCCTGCTTGAGCGGTGATGGCACGATCATCAGCATAGATGAAGCTCTCTGTCCCTTCTGGCAGTGGCTGGCCATTTGTGTAAATGTTGAACATGGGTGGAGTGAGTACGCTCCCCTGAGGCTGGCCCCATTCTTCTGTTTCCGCCCTCTGCTTCTCTGGCACTGGAACAAAAAAGCTCCTGTTTTGTAGCAGGTTTCCTATGAGGCGGGTGAGGTGGTCGTCCTTTGTGATATTAGACATTTTTCTCAGGAGGAGCCGGTGGTTCACAGTCTCATAGGCTGCTGACAGGTCTATGAAGACAGCTCCTGTGATCTGCTGCCTTTCAAAGCCATCTATGTGCTGAGTCAGGTTCAGCACTTGCGATGTGTAGCTTTTGCCTTTTCTTGGTGTGGGATCAGACAGGGGTCTATTTTTTTCCGTAATTCTATGCCAAATAAGTCTCTCCAGAACTTTGTAGAGGTGGCACAACAGGGAGATTGGTCTGTAGCTTTTTGGGTCGTTACGGTCTTTGCCTGGTTTCAAGATGGCGATGACTCTTGCTTTCCTCCAGATTTTGGGGATCTGACAGGATGCAGTGCAGTGAGCAAACAAGAATCGAATCTCACCTTTAAACATTTTTTTAAAAAAAAATCATATTGCAAAGAGTGCAAACTACATCTCCCAGGATCCCACAGCATTGAGCCAAGAATATATGGCAGTTCAGAAGACATGGCACAGATCTATTATTACTTTGCAGTTCGATCTCTAAATCCCCATATCATGTCACGCTGTTGGATTATCAAATGTCTAGATGTCATCGGGATGTGTGAAAACATCAGCTTTTCCAGTTGTTTTTCGACAATCCTGGGATTGCAACATCAACAATCCATACTTGTTTTCCCCCACAACAACTATTATTATTATTACTATTACTAGCGGTACCCGCCACACGTTGCTGTGGCCAACCTTCCCTCCGTCTTTCACTCCTTCCTTTCCTCCCTCTTTTTCTTTCCCTTCTTCTTTTTTCCTTCTCTAGCTGTTTTTTCCTTCTTTCTCTCCTTCTTTCCCTCTTTCCATCCTTCCTTGTCTCTTTCCTTCCTTCCCTCCCTTTCTCTCTTTCATTCCTTCCCTCCTTCCTTCCCTCTCTGCTTCCTTCTTTCACTTTTTTATTTCCTTCTCTTCTTTTTTCCTTCTCTCCCTTTCTCTCTCTCCTTCTTTCCCTCTTTCCATCCTTCCGTGTCTCTTTCCTTCCTTCCCTCTTTCTCTCTTTTATTCCTTATCTCCTTCCTTCCCTCTCTCTTTCCTTCTTTCACTTCTTTTATTTATTTTTATTTTAATATTCCAATTATTTTATATTATTATTATTAATACTATTTTATTGTTTATTATTGCAATTATTTTATATTATTATTAATTATAATATTTTATTGTTTATTGCATATTATATATTGTAATTATTTTATATTATTATTATTAGCACCATCTTATTGTTTATTATTACATATTATATAATATTCCAATTATTTTATATTATTATTATTATTATTAATACTATTTTATTGTTTATTATTGCATATTATATAATATTCCAATTATTTTACATTATTATTATTTATAATATTTTATTATAATATTTTATTTATAATATATTTTATATATAATAACAATATAAAATAATATAAAATAATTGGGATATTATATAATATGTAATAATAATTATTATTTATAATATTTTATTATTAGTAATATTTTATTGTTTATTATTACATATTATAAAATATTGCAATTATTTTATTATTTTATTGTATTATTTTATTGTATGATTTTATATTATTATTTTATATTATTATTATTAGTACTTTTTTATTGTTTATTATTACATATTATACATTGCAAATATTTCATATTATTATTATTAGTTCTATTTTACTGTTTATTATTACATATTATATAATATCCCAATAATTTTATATTATTATTTATAATATTTTATTTTATTATAATATTTTATTTATAATATATTTTATATATAATAATCATAATATAAAATAATATAAAATTATTGGGATATTATATAATATATAGTAATAATTATTATTTATAATATTTTATTGTTTATTATTACCTATTATATAATATCCCAATTATATTATATTATTATTATTAGTATTTTATTTTTTTATTTTTTTATTATTTTATATTGTTTATTATTATTATTATTATTATTATATAATATCCCAATTATTTGATATTATTATTATTAATACTATTTTATTGTTTATTGTTACGTATTATATAATATTCCAATTCTTTTATATTATTATTATTTATAATATTTTATCATAATATTTTATTTATAATAATATATTTTTATTTATAATCATAATTTTTATAATAATAATAATAATAATAATAATAATAATAACATAAAATAATTGGGATATTATATAATATGTAATAATAATTATTATTTATAATATTTATAATATCCCAATTATTTTATATTATTATTTATTATTATTATGATTATTATTATTCTGGGCGCCATGTTGAAGGGTAGCACACTCTCTCAGCCTCAAGAAACTATTGTTATTATTATTATTATTATTATTATTATTATTGCTATTATGATTCTTAAGCCAGAAACCAACCAAAGAGAAGAAGAAGAAGAAGGCCGGAGCGTCTCCTCGGCGTGTCTCCATCCAGCAGTCAACGGCACCACGTTGCCCTGGTAACCAAACTCCCTCAGGGCCCTACTTCCGGTCTGGAGCGGAAGTGCGTCACCTTCCAGCCGCCTCTCCTCTCATGGGCGGGGCGTCACGGAGGGAGGCTGCTCTTAGGAGGCGGCAGCTCTATGGTGGAGACAACTTGTGTTCATTCATTCTGTTCTGATCTATTGGGCACAAGATTAAGAAACTATTATTGTATTATATTTTATATATTATATTATTATATTATATTATATTATATTATATTATATATTTTATATTTTATTATGTTATATCATATATTATATATTGTATTATATTGTTTTATATTATATTATATTTTATTTTATATTATTATATTTTATTTTATTTTATATTATATTATATTATTATATATTATATTTTTTATATTTTATTATATTATATCATATATTATTATATTATATTATATTGTTTTATATTATATTTTATTTTATATTATATATTATATTATATTATATCATATCATATATTATATTATATTATAATGATATAGTGATATATAATAATATATAATATAACATTATAATATAATATAAGAACATAATAATATAATAATATTATATTATTATATTATTATGATACCCCAGCCATTCCACAGATATATAAACCCATTTTTCCTACTTCCAACAGACCTCACACCTCTGAGGATGCTTGCCATAGATGCAGGCGAAACGTCAGGAGAAATGCCTCTAGAACATGGCTCTATAGCCCGAAAAAACCCACAAGAACCTAGTGATTCCAGCCATGAAACCTTCGACAATCCAATATAATAATAATTATAATAATATAATAATAATATTATAATACAATATAATATTAGAAAATGTTATTATATTATATTATATATTCTTATATATCACTATATCATTATAATATATATAATATTGTTTTACATAATACAATAATATATAATAATAGATAACATAATAATATTATATATAATATAATAAATATATAATGCACATTATTAGAAAATATATTATATTATATATTCTTATATACCACTATATCACTATAATATATAATATAATATAATATAATATATTATTATGATACATATTAGAAAATATTATTTTATTATATTATATATTCTTATATATCACTATATCATTATAATATATAATATAATATTATTATACATATTAGAAAATATTATTTTGTTATATTATATATTCTTGTTGTTGTTCATTCGTTCAGTCGTCTCCGACTCTTCGTGACCTCATGGACCAGCCCACGCCAGAGCTCCCTGTCGGCCGTTACCACCCCCAGCTCCCTCAAGGTCAGTCCAATCACTTCAAGGATGCCATCCATCCATCTTGCCCTTGGTCGGCCCCTCTTCCTTTTGCCTTCCACTTTCCTTATATATATTCTTATATATCACTATATCATAATATATAATATAATATAATATATTATTATACATAATACAATAATACATAATAATAGATAACATAATAATATTATTATATATAATATAATATATAATAATAGATAATGCACAATATTAGAAAATATTATATTATATATTATATATTATAAAGATATAGTGATATATAATAATATGTGATATAATATAATAAAATGCCTTCTTCTCCTACAACTAGTAGTGCCAGAATGCTCAGTCTCAACAAAGATAATATAATAATATTATTATATCTATGATTCTGTGATTCTATATATTATATTATATATTATAATGATATAGTGATATATAATAATATATAATATAATATAATAATATTTTCTAATATTGTGCATTATATATTAATATATATTATATTATATATAATAATAATATTATGTTATCTATTATTATATGTTATTGTATTATGTATATTATATAATATATATTATTATATTATATATTATTATACATTATTATATTATCTATTAACAGATGGCATATTATTATATTATATATTATTATGCATTATTATATTATATAATAATTATTATATTATATATACTACATTATATATAATTATACATTATTATATTATCTATTATTATATGTTATTGTATTATGTATAATAATAGTGTATTATAGATATGACATATATATGCAAAACAGGAGGCACATTATTATTATTATTATTATTATTATTATTATTATTATTATTATTATTAGCCAACCTGAAGATGCAGAATAATAACAACAATTATAATAATAACAGATGGCATATTATTATATAATATATTATTATACACTGTTATATTATGTATATTATTATTATTAGCCAAACTGAAGATGCAGAATAACAATAATGATAATAGTAATAATATATATTATTATATATTATTATACATTATTATATCATCTATTATTATATGTTATTGTATTATGTATAATAATAATGTATTATATATGTATATGACATATATATGCAAACCCGAAGGCATATTATTATTATTATTATTATTATTAGCCAACCTGAAGATGCAGAATAATAACAATAATGATAATAATGGCATATTATATTATATATTATTATACATTATTATATCTATTATTATATGTTATTGTATTATGCATAATAATAACGTATTAGATATATGGCATATATATGCAAAAGGTCGGCGGTTCGAATCCCGGGAGCATGGTGAGCTCCTGCTGTCAGCTCCAGCATCTGCCAATCTAGCAGTCCAAAAACATGCAAATGTGAGTAGATCCAAAGGTAACAGTGCTCCATGCAGTCATTATATCACTCAGCTATCAATCAGTAATCTATATTTATTTATCATCTATATCTATCATCAATCTTAATAATTATCAACAATCTACCATCAATATCAGTCATCTATCTAAATTATCTATTTATCATGTATCTATCAATAATCTATCTACCTATGTCTAATTTATAATCTATCTGTTATCTATTTGTATCAGTCATCTATCTAAATTATCAATAATTGAAACATAGGCCAATTGTGACATTCACATCTACCTCCGACAGACAAGAGTTCTTTCTCCCATCCTGGACATCATTTGACAGATATATAATCCCCATTTTCAGAGGTCAGAGGAGCGAGAAACTGCAACATTAGATAAGTAGTTGGGCGACGAGACCTCTCGACCTCTGGGGATGGAGAGAATGCTATAAACCCCATTTTCAGATGTCAGAGGAGCCAGAAACTGCAACATTAGATAAGGAGTTGGGCAACGTGGCCTCTCAACGTCTGGGTATGGAGAGAATGCTATAAACCCCATTTTCAGAGGTCAGAGGAGCCAGAAACTGTAACATTAGATAAGTTGGGCGATGAGGCCTCCTAACCTCTGGGGATGGAGAGAATGCTATAAACCCCATTTTCAGAGGTCAGAGGAGCCAGAAACTGCAACATTAGATAAGCTGGGCGATGAGGCCTCCTAACCTCTGGGAATGGAGAGAATGCTACAAACTCCATTTTCAGAGGAGCCAGAAGCTGCAACATTAGATAAGGAGTTAGACGAGGAGGTCTCCTAAACTCTGAGGATGGAGATAATGCTATAAACTCCAATTTCAGAGGAGCCAGAAACTGCAACATTATAAAAGGAGTTGGGCAACGAGGCCTCTCAACCTCTGGGGATGGAGAGAATGCTATGAACCCCATTTTCAGAGTTCAGAGGAGCCAGAAACTGCAACATTACATAAGGAGTGGGGCAACATGACCTCTCAATCTCTGGGGATGGAGAGAATGCTATAAACGCCATTTTCACAGGTTAGAGGAGTCAGAAACTGCAACATTAGATAAGGAGACAAGACCTCTCCGCCTCTGGGAATGGAGAGAATGCTATAAACCCCATTTTCAGAGGAGCCAGAAAATGCAACATTAGATAAGGAGATGGGCGACATGGCCTCTCAACCTCTGGGGATGGAGAGAATGCTATAAACCCCATTTTCAATGGAGCCAGAAACTGCAACATTAGATAAGGAGTTGGGCGACGAGACCTCTCCACCTCTGGGGATGGAGAGAATGTGACGAGACCTCTCAACCTTTGGGGATGGAGAGAATGCAATAAACCCGATTTTCAGAGGTCCGAGGAGCGAGAAACTGCAACATTAGAAAAGGAGTTGGGCGACAAGACTTCTCCACCTGTGGGGATGGAGAGAATGCTATAAATCCCATTGTCAGAGGTCAGGGGAGCGAGAAACAGCAACATTAGATAAGGAGTTGGGCGACGAGGCCTCTCAACCTCTGGGGATGGAGAGAATGCTATAAACGCCATTTTCACAGGTCAGAGGAGCCAGAAACTGCAACATTAGATAAGTATCAATAATATGTTATGGGTTGGACTGGCTAGCCCTTGGGGGGTCCCTTCCAAGCCGAGGATTCAGTGACGTCATTGTTGAACGACATTGATGGAGACGTGACACAGAAAGGCAGTGTTGCTTCTGAAAGTGTCACGGCTGGGTTGGAGACATCTCTGCAAAAAGGAAGAAGGAAAAGACACAAAAGGCCCATTCAAGCCGGTTCTTCTATGGGTTGAGTAAGGCGACGAGAAGAAGTCGAATCATCCAGCTGGATTACTATTATCTATATGTAATAAAATATAATAATAAATTATATATATTATATAATATATATTGCATTTAATAAAATATAATATTTATTTATTTATTTATTTATTTATTTGATGCATTTATTAAATATATATATATATATATATATATATATATAAATAATATTCCAATTTTAATAATATATGAATAACAATATTAATATATGATACGTAATAAACTATAATAATAGCAAATATATAAATATTTTAATTTTAAAATATATTGATAATAGTATATAATATAATTATAATTGTAAATATGTAATTATAAAAACAATATTTTAATATAAATATATATTAGTAATAATTGTAATAGATGATATATAATAAAATATAATAGTAGTAGATATATAAATAATATTCCAATTTTAATAATATATGAATAACCATAGTAATATATGATACATAATAAACTATAATAGTAGTAAATATATAAATAATATGTTAATATTAAAATATATATTAATAATTATATTATAT